AAGATTTAGAATAATTATCATTTTGATCCGTACACTGGTAATGTCTGACTGGGCCTCGTGTCACTTTATGTTCAATAAATTGGGCCCTGAGGTCAAAAAGGTGAAGAACCCCTGGTTTAGAGGAGTGTCTTCAGTTCTCTGATGCCTTCATGCAGCTGGTGACACCTCAGGCTGGCACCATGACAAACCCTTGGGATTGCCAACATTTTTTTTTTCTTTTTACACTGTAAATATAAATGTAAATGTCCATAAACAGGTGGGTTGTACCATTATATTAGTTTAAACTGATCTCCAAACAATATTRTTTATCTCAATAATTTCTGAGACAATTTATTGTCCAGTAACATTTGCTATTGTGACAGGCCTAAATCCTGCAGTAAATTTCAGGGGTTGAAAATTTAAAGAATATTTAGAAGTATGAACATGTTTGCAGAGYACTCTTTTAATACGTTTTAAAGAAGTCTGTTGAGTTACCTTTCTGCTGCCTGGGGGCGCAGGGTCAAAAATCCTGGTCTGCATTTCACTGGGCARAGCGGAATAAACCGGCAGGATGATGAGTTCAGGTACGTCGGGTCCAAGAGACTTCATTCTCTCGTACAGGATCTCGCAGGCCGTGTCGATCTCTTCCTGACCCGTTAAGAAGACCAGGATGTCACCTGAGCAGAGGGAGGTTATGAGGAGACTGCTGATGCTGACTGATGATTAAAATAAACACCAGTTTACCTGGAGGCTCAGTCAGATGAATCTGCATGACCGTGATGAGGCTGGCGTCCAGATAGTCCGTCTCAGGCTCTTTGGTGTAAAGSACCTCCACCGGGTACGTTCTGCCCGGGATGGTGAAGATGGGAGCTTCGTAGAAATATTGAGAGAACTTCACGGCATCCAGCGTAGCAGAGGTGACGATCAGCTTCATATCTGTGCGTTTCTGGACGGTCTGAACCAAAAAAAAACCATGCTCAGAAAAGCTTTCATGTGTAAACACTTCTACACGAATTTACTGTAAGATCTTTATTTTTTTCTGGGTTTCTGACCTTCTTGAGGAGACCAAACAGAACGTCAGTATGGATGGTCCTCTCRTGGGCCTCGTCCAACATGATGATGGCATACTGGCCCAGTTCTGAGTCGATCAAACACTCCCTCAGCAGCATACCRTCTGTCATGTACTTGATGACCGTCTCAGGACTCGTGCAGTCCTCAAACCGGATGGTGTAACCCACCTGGAGAAAACGCAAAACCGCTCAGTCATTTTGAAATCAAACCCATGTAAGAATAACCAGAATAAAAATAAAAACACAGATTGTCACCTCTTGTCCCAGACAGCAGCCGTACTCCTCAGACACTCTCTTGGCCACCGACATGGCGGCGACACGGCGGGGCTGCGTACAGCCAATCTTCCCTCTGGTGGTGTAACCCGCCTCTGCCAGGTACTGAGTGATCTGCGTGGTCTTACCAGAGCCCGTCTCTCCGATGACGATCAAAATCTGGTTGTCGTGAACGGCCTGCGACACATCAACACAAAGAGAACTTTTACAACAATAACAGCTGTTTGTGAATAGATAAATACGTTCTTAAAAGAATCTGAACAAAATCATAAAACTTTACTGGTATTGGTCAGTGGTGGGCTCAGCTAAACTATTAGCTTCACTAACACATAAACCTGTACACCAGAGACTCTTTACCTGTGGGTCATGGCCCACAAGCGCCACCTTGAGGGCCTCAAAAGAACAACAGTTTTTAACATTGGGCCGCAGAGGGCCACATTAATTTTGAATAAGGTGCAATACACTTTCTCACCACTAGTAGCAGTAGTGCACCACGTAGATGTTTAACAACTTTTTAATACATAGAAGAAAAACCTTTGCTACTTGCCAAGAAAGGAAACCTATTTTAAATTAAAAGTAGAAGCAAAAATGAAGGCAACCCATCGAAAAAGGCCAAAGTTTGTCACAAATATGAAGTTCATCCTCTGGTTCTACCACGCAATTTTTTTTAAAGTTCAAATCATTATCATATACAGTTACAGATACTGCTATATTTTAATTTGCACTTTATCAAATTTATTTTTGTAATGCATTTTTAAGCATTTTGTCAAATAGCTGTTGTTACTGTTATTATTTGTCACTAATATGAAAAGCAGCTTTTATCTGTGAGCACACCGCCCTGTAGTGTTCAGTTCCCCTGCTTCAGTCGTGTTCACAGCCTTACTGTTAATAATTAAACTTCAACAGAGATCAAACGTGTGTAATCTGACAAACAAGTCAACACGACTCAAAGTGCTTCATAGATCACAAATAAAAATGTTGTCTCTTTTAGAGGTGAAATTTAAGAAAACTGTTTTTTAAGGCAGGAGGCGGAGCTACAACTGCATACTGAACCAGATGAGTGGACTGGGGAGGGGTTAAACAGGAAGTGATAAATTACAAACTGTAAAATGTGTTTCTGCTCATTTAGTTCTTATACTTAAACACTATTAACACTAAAAAAATGAATATTTTTATGCCCCAGATTAAAGCAAAGATGTGTGTCTGTGTTTTTTTTATTTATTTATTTAATTTTGCAACAAATTTAGAAAATGCTGTCTGTGACTGAATGACATCTATGCTGCAAAGGATGCTGGGAAAACTGAAAACCGAAAAAGTGAGTCAGAAGATCGGGTTTGTACTGAAGAGACTAGAATAAACTAGACATGGGTTTTTCCGATGTAAAAACAAGTGTGCATTGCCACGTAGCATGTCATTGCAGCATGGTTTTGCCTGCAGCAGTGGACTTGCAGAATGAAATGGGACCAAGTTCAAATTTGTTTTCTGTACCAGCTTGTGCCTGTCACATGAGCAGGTGTTTGTAATTAAGGTAATTGAGTGACAATATGAAGTTGGAAGAGATTTGTTGTTAAAGTTGCTTTAGCCGGGTTTTGAACCCTGATCTCCCACATGAAAGTAAACGACATTGACCATTAGACCAGTGGAGTTGTGGCAGAAGGTGGTGGCAGGGGTTGGTTTGTATGTGTGCAGAAGGAGGCCACATTGTCAATATAATTATTGACACTAAACAGCATAATATTACAACAATAGAACAGTATTAAGACAATATTATAGTAAAACATCTAAATACAATCTTATTTGTATTGTAAACACTGAACAATTGAGATTAAATATTATTAAAGTATGGTGCAGTACCAAGTTGAGTCCAGCATGGGGCAGTGTTGGACCATTACAAGGCCCAATTGACTCCCATTATATGAATTTTGGAATAAAGTTTAAACATTAATATTTCAAAAACTACAAGTTGTACAGGCACCAGAAGGCATAGCAATCATTTGGCACAGGACCTTTACAGATGGAAATTACAATGGCAGCTGTAAGACAAAGTATGCAGGAGGAGTAGCGTGGCGACGTGGAAGAAGACGGAATAAGCTGGATAATAATAATATTAAAGAGAAACAGGAAAACAATAGTGTGCATTGGCAATGCACACTGATAACAGTCCTCAGAGCGAGGATGATGTCACCGTGTGACTGGTGAGTGAACTCATAATGCCTTTAGTCACTGTTGGATGTGGAAGTAAATGTTACTGAAATTAGTGAGARTGATGAATGTCTGGACTTTTGGCAGCAGAGAAACTAAATGAAAACATTTTAGCAGAAGTAAAGTCTGTTAATACATTATAAAGTTAAACCACTCAGCAAAATACTATCAGTTGGTGGGGGGATGAGCAGAACTGTGCCCACCACTGGTACTGGTTCATCCTGAGGAACAAGTTAATGTTTGTGTGAAACTGAAGAACCTGAATGAGTTGCTCCTTCAGCTTGTAGATGGGCAGGCTCTCCCTCTGCTCCAAGATGGAGAGCTGGGTCTTCTTTCCGTATGAGGCTTTGTTCCCTCCAAAAGCGTGTTTCTTCCACTCTGGGATGTCGTTGGGCATCATGCCGATTCCTCTCATGTTAGCAGCGATCTGCCGACCATCAACTGAGAAATAAAAACACGTTTAAGGCAAATTAAAGAATAGAAATAATAATACAGCTTCAATACAAGTGAAATCAGAACCAGGGTTTATGACAACATGATGTCAACTCCTGGAAACTGTCTACACCACTTTGGGGTCAAACACAATAGAGACGATTCCATCCGGCCCAAATGTGGGGGGCAGCAGGAAGCTAGATAATAATCTCCAGCACCAGAAGGTCTGAGGGTCTGTTTCTGTCAGCGTGGATGGAGGAAGTCTCATGTCTGACTCAAGTTCTAATAAAAACAGTAACTAAAACACGACAGCACAGCAAATTAAATCTGTTATCCTGAGACAAAATGATCAAATTCAAGATAAAAAATCGTTTTATTTGAAACTGAAAAAATAAGATACGTTGATTCAACTGTAGGCTCCCTCTCAAAACCCCTAAAGCTGGGACTAAAYGACCTAATGAGCACAGCTAACAGCCTTCTAACCGTCTGGCAGCGGGTCCACCCAGTGTTTGTTCAGTCCCATGGGGATGGAGTCCATCTCTGCCTCTCGAGCCGCCTGTTTCAGTTCCCGCCTCTCCTTAGCCAGAGCGCTCTGCATCATCGCCGCCTGAGACAGGGAGCCATCTGGATTCTGGGCGGAGCATATACAGAGAAATGGTTCAGGAAGTGTTCAGCTTCAAGTCCAAATTAAAACCAAAGCTTTTAATTTAAATTAAACATMACAAACTGAACAAAGAAAGATGTTGAGGAGCTCGCAAACATTAAAACATCCAAAACCTGCTCACAAATCTGGAATCTTTCATCTTTAAAACTATTCAAAGCATTGAAAATGCTGCCTTCCTGAAATTTGGTATGCTTGTTTGTCTTTGTGTCTATTATGTACAATGATGTGATTGTGATGCTGTAATTCTGAGTGTTTTATGTGCTGCAGAACAGGAACCTGCTGTAAAACAGCAATT